TTAGTAAAGAGTTATTTTCTTATTGGATATTTTTTTATATATAGTAAAGACCTTATTTTATACTACATACTAGAGGTAATATAAACTACTAAATATATATTTAAAAAGAAATTTAATCTATATATAGGCAGTAAGCTTTTACTAATAGTTTTATAATAGTTATATATCTACTATTAGTATATATACTTAGTACTTATAGACTTATAAATATAAAAGACCTAGCTTTACTATTATTAAAGGCTTAATATACTTATTAAGTATTAAATATAAGTAAAATATTTAATATAGTAATTTCTACTTCTAAGCTACTAATAGTGTTAAGTTATAAAGATAAGTAGCTATAGTTATAATTTTAGGCTATAGAACTTTAGGTAGTTTTATATTAATATATATATATTATACCTTAAGTTTAATACTTATAGTAATTTACTTAGCGTCTCTATCTTAAGCCTAAGTATTTACTACTAACAGCTTAATAAAGATCTTATAATTAAAGACTATATCTATAAGTTACTTAAGGTATAGGATTTCTTAGTTAGCCTTAATAACTTATAGTATAATTAAATATTTATTTTTTAGTATTATAAGAAAGCCCCTTATTATTAATTTAATAGTATCCTACTAGTAGCTATATAAGTAGAAATCTTATATAAGGCTAGTTACTTAGTCTAAGATTATTATTACTAAGTAGTATCTTATATAGCCTTATTTAAGATTATAAAAATCTAGCACTAAGTAATTACTTAGTACTATATTTATAATTAATTTATAAGGCTAGTAGTAAATCTACTACCTTATTTTACTAAGACTATATAAATTATAGTCTTATATTATTATAGTATTAACTTAGGTTAGATATACTTTATAAGTAGTATTTATAATCCTTTATAGAGTCTTAGCACCTAGGTAGCTAAGACGCTTATACTATATTATTATATTACTATAAAGTAGTTATTACTATATTAGTATTATATATTTATTTCTTACTTATAAGGTTAGTAGTACATTATTAGCAGAATATATAGTAAAAGCGCTTTTACTTTCTTAGGTATAGCTATATTACTCATAATATTTAAGCACTTATTAGTTACTTTATTCCTTAATATAGCCTATAAGGCTATAGTTTATATACCTTAGGTAATTATTAATTAGGCTTATGTCCTACTATATACCTTTTAGTATAGCCTTATGAAAGAAATAAGTAATATAGTAAAAGCGCTATAATATATTATATTATATATATAGAGCTTAGTTAGTAAGCTATTAGTGCCTTTTAAAATAATCTCTATAGGACTATATCTTTTTATGATAACTTAGGCAGTACTAGACTAAATACAGTTACTAATTAGGGCTACTAACTAATAATAATAAACTATATATATAGTTAAATATATAGTTAGTAGTGCCTAAATTAAGAAAGCTAAATTACCTAGCTTATAGCCTTATAAAGTAGCAATAAAAGGCTACTTTTATATAGTATCTACTATATAGTTAACATAACTAGGCCTTAAGTCCTTAAACTTATTTAGGAGG